AGACGCTTAACCGACTGAGCCACCCAGGCGCCCCAATATTAATTTATTTTTGAGATAAAGAGCAAGGGGGCGGGGAAGTGCAGAGAGAGAGGGTGACAGGGGATCTGAAACGGACTCTGTGCTGACACTAGAGAACCCGATGTGGGGCTCAAACTCACAAACCATGAGCTCATGACCTGAGCTGAAGCTGGATTCTCAACCAACTGAGCCACCCAGGTACCCACGCACCTCTTTCTTTAAGAACATACTCCATGGGCCCAGTGGAAAACTTGCAAGTTTTAATACTTCAGGAAGAAGGGATAATGGGTTCTGACACACTGCTAAGTTTATTTAACTTAACAAATGCTGGGAGAAAGTCATGAAAGAAAAGCACCTCCTTACTTGAAGGCTACATATGAGCTGGGCAGATGTGTTAGTCTGCTTGGGTTGTCATAACAAAATACCCTAGACTGGGTGGCTTAAACAACAGAAATATATTTTCTCACAGTTCTGGAGGCTGGAAGTCTGAGACCAGTGTGTCATCATAGTTGGTTTCTGGTGAGAAATCTCTTCCTGGCTTACAGACACCCATCTTTATGTGGCTTTCCTCTGTGACACATGGGGATGGGAAGGAGGTGTCGAAGAGAGAGAGGGAGGAGGGAAGGAGAGAGAGAGAGAGAGAGTGCACTCTAGTGTCTCTTCTTCTAAAGACACTTGTCCTGGGGCACCTGGGTGGTTCAGTCAGTTAAGCCTTCGACTTCAGCTCAGGTCATGATCTCATGGTTTGTGAGTTCAAGCCTTGCATCAGGCTCTGTGCTGACAGCTAGGAGCCTGGAGCCTGGAGCCTGCTTCAGATCCTGTGTCTCCCTCTCTCTCTGCCCCTCCCCTGCTTGAGCACTGTCTCCTTCTCTCTCTAAAAATGAATAAACATTAAAAAAATTAAAAAAAATAAAGACACTTATCCTATTGGATCAATCCTCCATATGGCCTCATTTAACCTTAATTTCCTCTTTATAGGCCCTATCATCTTTAAGTAAGTCAAGTAAGCTAGGGCTTAAGGATATGAATTTTGGGGTGACATGATTCAGCTCATAGCAGTGGCCTAAGGAAGGTACCCCAAATTCAGGGACTTACGTATTCAGTCAGGTGAGGGGTCATTATGTCCTGATAACTAACAACTCCTGAATTTTAGTTGCCGTAGTGGTTTGCAAAATATGGTCATGAACCTCTCCTGTTCTAGTGTGTGTGCCTCTTTGCAGTATGACTTTGCTATTCCTCACTTCATGAGGTAAACTTTCCCCCACTCTTACTGGCCTTGTGATTTGCTGTCACCAGTAGAACATGGTGGAAGTGACGTTATAGGACTTCTGAAGATGGGCCTCCCTTCGCTTGGGATCTCTTAGAATGCTTTCCTGAGATTGCAGATGCAAGGCTAGAAATGAAAGACCATGGGAGAGCGAGCAAGTTCCAGGTGTCCAGCTGTTCTTGCTGAACTCAGCCGTCAGCTGACTGCAGCTGCATGAGTGAGTCCAGGCAAAAGCAGCAGAAGAATCACCAGGCCAGCCCACAGAGTCATGAGAAAGAAGAAATCTTATTTTTAAGCCCCTAAATTTTGGGTGGTATCTGTTTTTTTTCCAACAGCAGTGGTAATGTAATAGATTAAAACAAAGATTTGTTTTTTGCTCATATTACGTACATATCCTATGAGGATCGGCAGAGGAGAGCTTTTGGTGTCACTCAGGAATGTGAGCTGATGGAGCAGTCACCATCTCGAATGTTGCCACACAGGGGAAAAAGAGCATGGTGAGGACTGCACTGGCTCATAAAGCTTCCATCTAGAAATGGTACATGTCACATATATTCATATTTCATTGGCCAATGCAAGTGGATAGGGAATTTCAATCCTACTCTGTGACTGAAGGGAGATAAAGCCAGAATCTTTGTCAACATCTCTAATATCCACCACCCGTAAGAGAGTTTATTTCTCTGTTAACAATATGAGTAGGAGGGAAGGGCTGATATGACATCAAGACAGTGTCAGGGACCTAGGCTTCTCTGTCTGCTTGCTCCACCATCCTCTGGATGTTGTGCTTGAATCGCCATCACGTTGATATTTTCTTTTTTTAAATTTTCTTTAAAGTTCATTTATTTATTTTGAGAGAGAGAGAAAGAGAGAGAGAGAGGGAGAAAGAAAGAGAGAGAGAGAGAGGAATGAGAGCGAGAGAATGAGAATCCCAGGCAGGCTTTGCACTGTCAGTACAGAGACTAATACGGGGCTCAGTCCCACAAACTGCAAGATGATGACTTGAGCCGAGATCAAGAGTCAGACACTCAACGGACTGAACTACCCAGGTGCTCCTACCACCAGATTTATATTTTAGCCTATGGAAAGGGGAGGACATGCTCCCCTTTGATTTTAGGGGCATAACTTGGAAATTATGTGTATCAGTTTTACTCAATTCCTATTGCCCAGAACCAGGTCACCAGTTACCTAGCTGCCAGGGTAGCTGGGAAATGTAGTCTTTAGCTAGGTGACTATGTGTCCTGCTAAACATCTTACTGTAGAAGGAGGGAAAGAGAACAGATATTGGGTGCCAGGGAGACACAGCAGCAGCTTTGGGACCCCTAACACCAAGGGTATCATGGTCTTCCTGAATTCAGTCAGTTTTGTCCAAGGTGAGCCCTATTTTGCATATGTGTTCCTAAGAAGCTATTTGTGCGTGTGTTTGTATTTTAAAATTTAAATCTTAGTTAACATTTAGTGTCATAATGATCTCAGGAATACAATTTAGTAATTCATCACTTGATGTAACACCCAGTACTCATCCCAACAAGTGTCCTCCTTAATGCCCATCACCCATTTAGCCCATCCCCTCACCCAATACCCCTCCAGCAACCCTCAGTTTGTTCTCTGCATTTAAGAGTCTCTTATGGTATGCCTCGCTCTCTGTTTTTACTTTATTTTTGCTTCTCTTCCCCTATGTTCATCTGTCTTGTTTCACTCAAGTTCCACATATGAGTGAAATCATATGGTATTTGTTTTTCTCTGACTTATTTCACTTAGCATAATATACTCTAGTTCCATCCATGTTGCAAATGGCAAGATTTCATTCTTTTTGATGATCTAGTAATATTCCATTATATATATATGGTTCATATAATGTATATGTATAATATATATAGGTATGTATGTAACACATCTTCTTTATCCATTCATCAGTCAATGGACATTTGGGCTATTTCCATACTTTGGCTATTGTCGATAGTGCAATAAACATTGGGGTGCATGTGCCCCTTTGAATCAGCATTTTTGGATTCTTTGGGTAAATACCTAGTAGAGCAATTCTGGGTCATAGGGTAGTTATATTTTTATCTAAGGAGTTATTTGTAAATCAAAAGAGTTTTCACAAACTTAAACAATCACTTCAGAGATGTTTTCTATCTATCTGCTATCTATTTATTTTAGAGAGAGAGTGAGCACGTGGGTACATACATGTGAGTGGGGGAGGTACGGGGGGAGGAGAGAAAGAGAGAATGAATCCCAAGCAGCTTCACACTCAGTGAAGAGCCCTATGTGGCCTTCATCCCACTACCCTGAGATCATGACCTGAGCTGAAATCAAGACTCAGACACTCAACAATGAGCCACTCAGGCTTTTTTAGATTTAATTTTTAAATTTTTAGATTTAAAATTTTGTCTGTTTGTTTATTTATTTATTTGTTTAAAATGTTTATTTTTTGGGGCACCTGGGTGGCTCAGTCGGTTAAGTGTCCGACTTCAGCTCAGGTCATGATCTCATGGTTCATGGGTTTGAGCCCCGCATCGGGCTCTGTGCTGACAGCTAGCTCAGAGCCTGGAGCCTGTTTCAGATTCTGTATCTCCCTCTCTCTCTGACCCTTCTCTGCTCACGCTCTCTCTCTCTCTCTCTCTCTCTCAGAAATAAATAAAACATTAAAAAATTAAAAAAATAAAATGTTTATTTTTTGAGAGAGAGAGCCCACGTGAATGGTACGAGGGACAGAGAAAGAGGGAGACAGAGAATTTGAAGCAGGCTCAGTGCTGACAGCAGAGAGCCCAATACAGGGCTTGGACTTATGAACTGCTAGATCATGACCTGAGCTGAAGTCAGACGTTTAACCAACTAAACCACCCAGGCACCCCTCATCTTTATTTTTAATTGATCTTATTTATTCATATCCCACATTGTTTGACAAAGTATTAAAGAGACTTCTGTCAGATAGGGGGTTAACATGTTAGCTTAGAGTTTCTTTCATTCCAGCATTTCATACAATTGCAAGTTGTAATTTAAAGACACATCCAAAATCCAAAAATACTTTGTGTCTTTGGGTAACCAATTCCAGACTTATTTATTTTATGAGTTGGGAATTTTTTCTACTGGACTTCCCATAAAAGTGCTTTAAACATCTTGCAGTCTTCAAAACTAAGCGTTGATTTCATTTTTACCTTCAGATTCTCTCTGGGGAAGGGTTGCAAGGAAGAACAAGATTGTGATTCTTCCTATTTATATAGAATTTCTGAGAAAATTAGCCTGCATTCCTTGGAGGTTTATGTTCAAGAAGACAGTCCTATCCCAGGCTCTCAGGAAATAAAGTCCACTTTGGGCACCTAAGAGAAAACTGAAACTTTACTTAAATAAACGATTTTGCAATATTTTGGATGGTTTGTGGGTTTGTGTGCTTTAGATGATGCATGCAAGAGCATGTGTGTGTGCACATGTGTGTGGGGTGCAGGCTGAGAGCAGTATAAAAAGTGTATGGTGAGATCAGCTGACTAGGATATATTGGGATTAGGGAGATGGGCAAGGGCTTCACCCTCTCAGCTCAGTCCCCAATCCCTGATTTTTCTTCCCCCTGCTAAGAGCACATCCCCCTTGCCACTCCCTAGTTTTCTTTCTCTGGCAGCAAATAAAGCAGCTGCTGAGCCAGCTCTGGGTTTCGGGAAGTCAGATGACCTTTTCCCTCTGCGGGCTCTCTGCCTCTCTCTGCCTCAAGGTGGACACCATGGACCCACTGATGGCTCTCCTTTGCCTGTTGCCCCTGTATCCAGGTAGGAGCAGGGTAGGGGAATGCTGGGGTCTCGTGGGCGAGGCCTGTGCCGCCTGCGTTGAGTTCCCACTTGTAAGTGGACAATCCCTCTTGCTTTCCTTTTCTCATCTTTTCTCCATTTCTGTGTTGTGTCTCATGCTCACAGGCTTGGCTGCAGCCACCCCCTCCTGCCCTCAGAATGTGAATATCTCTGGCGGCACTTTCACCCTCAGCCATGGCTGGGCCCCTGGGAGTGTCCTCACCTACTCCTGTCCCGTGGGCCGCTACCCATTCCCAGCATCGCGGCTGTGCAAGAGCAACGGACGGTGGCAGACCCTGAGATCCACCCAGCTGACAAAGGCGGTCTGCAAACGTGAGGCTCTCTGTGGGCCTTCCTCAGGGTGCCCAGCAGTGGCCACTCTGGAACCTCCATTTAGGAGTTGCTCAGGGTGGGGCTTAACCTGATGAGGTGATGTGCCAGGGATCGCAGAGCTGCTTTTCCATGGGGCTTTTGAACACAGTGGGGAAATGCCCATTGTCCACAGCAAGGCATTGGAGGAAGGCTTTGATGGGGATTGTGGGGGTACTAAATCGGTTTTTTAAATACTTGGGATGATTTTTTTAAAAAAATATTTAACAACTGACAGCATAGTCCCAATCATTCAGAATGTGTGCTGGAGTCCCCTGTCGTGCCAGGTGTTACCCCTTTGGTTGTCCACTTGTGGGACATCTGAGGACCTCAGAGGGCTTAGAGTAGTGCTTATTTATCAATTTATTAGGTTGCACTGTGTGAAATTGCCGAAATTCAACCAATTGCCACAAGCAGCGATTTCACATGCAACAACCCAGTAGTTTGACAACCAGTTGGCTGTTCCCACGCACCCACGCTGAGCATCACTCAGCCCAGGTGCTATCCATCCATGCCTGTATCCTCCTCCTCTCCTCTTCCTCCAGCTGTTCGCTGTCCGGGTCCTGTTTCCTTTGAGAATGGCATGTTCACCCCACGGCTCGGGTCTTACCCTGTGGGCGGCAACCTGAGCTTCGAGTGTGAGGACGGCTTCACACTGCGGGGATCGCCTGTGCGCCAGTGTCGCCCCAACGGCATGTGGGACGGGGAGACAGCCGTGTGTGACAACGGCGGTGAGTGCCCTGACTGATGGCTGCATGGGGGCATGGCTCCTGGGAACCTTGGAATCAGATGTGTGCCCGGGGTGGGGGGAAGCTTTGTGGAGCCAGGAACCTGGTGTTTCTGACACCAAAATAATATTTTCTGAATTTTAGTAAATTGAGGTTTATAGGTCACACATCACCGGCCTGCAGGGAGCCTGGCTGAGGCAGGTGGTGCTAAGCTTTGGATCTGATGTGAAGCTTTTTTAAATACCTCAAAGCAAGGGACGATGTGCTGAGAGGGAATCAAGTGCTGTGCTTTAGTGCCTGCCTCTGCAGCCAGTTTGCGCCCAAGCCTGGCTCTGATTTGGGGAGCCTGTGGCCAAGTTATTTAACCTCTTAGTGCCCCAATTTTCACATCTGAAATGGAGATGGTACGAGTGGCCACCACATAGGGTTGCCGTGTGGATTAAGTGAGTTGACATAAGTAAGCATCTGGAAGAGTGCCTGAGGTCTGGTAAGCGACACATATACTTTTGTCATAGTTATTACTGGCCATGTCAATGGTGAGGGGCTCTGCTTGATAGAAGTGGGGTTCCCATGATTCCCTGGATAATACAGAAAACACAGAATCCACGAGGTGGTAGGAACCATACATTGGTTCTCTACTCATATTCATGACTCTGCCAAATAGCCATTGATTCAAACATAAATAGAATTGATTTGAAAACTGAGGTACATCTACCTAAAGTGTAAGTATCTTAAATATTCAGCTCCGTGAACTTTTGCACATGTATCCACCTGTGTAATCACCATGCAAGGTAGAGAACATGTCCGACAAAGCAGGAGGCTCCTCCTGTCCACTCCTGACCACATAGTGACCACTCTGTCTTCTGTCCCCTCATTCTTACATTTCATACAAGTGGAATCATATAGAATATGCTTTTTTGGCATCTGGCTTCCTTTACTCGACATTCTGCCTGTGAGATTTATCGATTTGTTATTTTTTATTGCTGTGTAGTTTCATTATACAAAGAGACTACAACTTATTTATGCATTCTTTTGTTGCTGGGCATTGGGGTTCTCTCCATTTTGGGGCTACTATAAGTAAAGCTCTATGAGCGTCCTTATACATAACTGCTGGTGCACATATGAGTTTTCTTCTTTTGAGCATGTTATCTAGGAGTGGAATTATCCAGTCACAGGTTGGTATATGTTTAGTTTTAGTAGGGGCTCCAGCAATGTATCTGAGTGCTGGTTGCCCCACATCCTTTCTGACACCTGGATTACCCCAGTTTTAGCCATCATGGTGGGTGTGTAGTGAAGCCTCACTGTGGTTTATGAGGTACAAATATTATCTGTGACGGTGTAGGGCTTGTCAGCTAGCATCTTCCCTGGGGCTCTGGGATGGATGCAGGGTGGGTCCCTGGGTTGGGACTGGGATGCTTTAGCTGGCATGTGAGGCCACTGAGTTCTAAACATTTTGCCCTTCTTAAGATTTTCCATGCACACCCTTGGGAGGCACAGTTGTGGTATCTCCCAAGGAGGAGGCTGAATGACCCACAGAAGCTCCACAGGTCTGAAAGGAGGAAGAGCCCCGAGGGAGAGAGTGGGTGAGCAGGGCCAAAAGGCTGAGGAGGGTGTCCCTGCTCACTGCCATCTTCCTTTGTTCACTCACAGCTGGCTACTGTCCCAACCCGGGAATCTCAGTGGGCTCTGTGAGGACAGGGTCCCGCTTTGGCCTTGGGGACAAAGTCACCTACCGCTGCTCCTCAAATCTGGTGCTGACCGGGTCTGCGGAGCGGGAGTGCCAGAGCAATGGGGTCTGGAGTGGGACAGAGCCCATATGCCGCCGTGAGTAGCCAGCTGCCCTGACCCTCCAGAGATTCCCTGAGCACCCCACCCCTGACCCTGACTGACCCCAGTGGCTCTTCCCACAGAGCCCTACTCTTATGACTTTCCCGAGGATGTGGCCCCTGCCCTGGGCGCCTCCTTGTCCCACCTACTTGGAGCCACCAATCCTACCCAGAAGAAAAAGGGTGAGTGTTTGAGACGGGGACAGTAGGGTGCTGGGCCTAGGGTAGGAGGAAGAGTCTTCTCAGAGGGCGCTCAGAGCTTCCAGAAAACTCAGTGGGACTGAGCTGACTGGAGGGGAGGCAGGGAGGCCCTATCCCTTAGGAAGAGAGCCGGTGGGAGGTGAAGATGTGAATCTACCCCTTCCATGTTTCTTCCAGAAAGCGTGGGTCGTAAAATACAAATCCAGCGCTCTGGTCACCTGAACCTCTACCTGCTCCTGGATGCCTCTCAGAGTGTGACCGAAGACGATTTCCACATCTTCAAGGAGAGCGCCATTCTCATGGTGGACAGGGTCAGGAAATCGGAGTCTGTTTACAGAGGGGCCTTCCTATGCCCACTGTCTCTCTCTGGTTCCTTCTCTTCCTCAGAATCCCACTCACAGCCCACTTCCTCCAAAAAGTCCTCCTAGATTATGGGCATTCCATGCAGGAATCATGGATTCAATTTACAGGATCCCACAAACACTCCTGGGGCACCTACTATGTGTCAGGCACCGTGCTGGGTGCTGGGGGACATCAAAGATGAACAAAGCTGAGGTCCTACTTCCCAGGAACCAACCCATCATCTAGAATGGTGGTCTCCAGAGAATGGTATATAAAAGAACCCAGTGAGGTGTGGTAGACAAGTGCTGGTATCCTTGTTGAATAATTTTAATTTAAGTTAAACCAATAACTTAATATTTAAGACTTTCCTTTAAAAATTCCCAATTTTTATATTTAAAAATGTGTATAATATATTTGAATGGTGATGTACTTAATAAATATGAGTCAATTTTTATAAATCTATATACCTATATTTAGGTATGTGCTCAAAACATTTTTACTGACAAGATGCAGGAACAGGAGAGTTTGGAAGCCACTTAGTTTAGGTTCTTTGCCAGCACTTTGCTTGGTAATTATGCTTTTCACAATAGTTTCTGTAGATATATGTTTTCCTTCCCACCTCCACTTTAAAGAAGGCAGTTCCTTAGAGTCTCTTAAGACCTGTAGTAACTCAGTAAGCTCTGAGGCTGCAAAATTTGCCAAGTTAGAGAACCGCCTCAGATTCATGAGGACAGGTTCAAATTCTACCTCCACTTTGTACCAGTATTGTGATCTGGGGCGAGGCAACAAGCCTCAGTGTCCTCATCTATAAAATAGGGCCTTCTTGCCCCCTCCCAGAATTGATGTGAGGATGCAGTGAGGAGTGAGTGAGCCTATCAAAGATGCTAGAAGGTCCACAAATGTCAGTGTCTTGGCTCCCTGCAATCAGCAGTCTCTTAGTAAGTGACTCAGTCTCGGTGCAGGCTCTCTGCCTCCTCTGGGGTCCTTGGCTTGCTCTCTTACTCTCTCCCCTTTTGCTTCAGGGCCTTTCATGCTGCCTCTCACTTGCCATTCACAGATCTTCAGCTTTGAGATCAATGTGAGTGTCGCCATCATCACCTTTGCATCAAAGCCCAAAATCATCATGTCTGTTCTGCACGACAAGTCGAGGGATGCAACTGAAGTGATCAACAGTCTGAACAATGTCAACTATAGAGGTACAAGTGTCATCAAATGAAGGTGATGAGGCAGGGGGGAGGATAAGCTGCCTGTACCTACAAAGAAATTCTGGACAAGTTAGAGATGAGGCCTTTTGGTGACATTCGAGTCCCAGGGCTCTGGGGCTCAGGTTCCTCAGGTGGAGGTAGCTTCCAAGTTAAGTTCATGGTGGCCAAGTCCCAGCTCCCACCAGCTCATGGCTTACTCTAATGTGCTACACATCCAAATGCTTCACACAGGTCTTTGGCTCCTTCCTGATTCCAGAACTACATGGCCTGTTTTTTTTGACTTGGAGTCTCCCCATGTCATTATGAAACTACCTGGGTGGTAGAGAGCAGATGGGTATGGCCACCCAAGTTCTTTGGAAACTCCATCTTTGAATCTTGAGGCTTTAGAGTGGCCACTGGGTTATGCAGTATTTCTTTTTTTTTTTTTTAAATATTTTTATTTATTTCTAGGAGAGAGAGAGAGAGAGTCAGCGTGAGCAGGGGAGAGTCAGAGAGAGAGGGAGACACAGACCCTGAAATAGGCTCCAGGCTCTGAGCCGGCACAGAGCCCAATGCGGGGCTCAAACCCACGAACCGCGAGATCATGACCTAAGCGAAAGTCAGACACTCAACCGACTAAGCCACCCAGGCACCCCGGTTATGCAGTATTTCTAAGGGGAAAGGCTTTTAATGTCTGAACAGACAATGATGCCAAACCTCTGTCTGGATAGCTAAGGTCCGAGTTTATCAAGACAGTTGATAAATGCATTTCCAATGGTGAGGAGAAGAGAGATTCTCTTCTCCCAGGCAGTAGGTAGGAAGCATCTAAGATAATCCTCTTCACATAATCCAGACCATGAAAATGGAACCGGAACAAACACCTATGCAGCTTTAGATAGTGTCCATATCATGATGAATAACCAGATGCAACGCCTCGGAATGAGCACGGCGGCCTGGCAGGAAATCCGACATGCTATCATCCTTCTGACAGATGGTGGGTATGGTCGTCTTTGCGAGTGAGTCTGGCACAGTAGAAGGAGCGCTGATGTGGGGTTAGGACACCTGCATTCTGGTTCTCCCTCTGCTACTTTGGGCCTCAATTTCTTGTTTCTGTAGCAGAAATAGTGTTGATGGTGACAATGGAACGACAATGATGATGATGATAGTCATAGCTGCCCTCCTTCCCTTACACAATTTTTATGGAGAGGAATTGAAGTAGTTTGTGTAAGAGTGCTTTGTGATTACAGATATCAATTATTGTTACTACCTGGGAGGTTGCCTTGAGTCAGTTAGACAGGGGTGGAGGGGTAGCTTTGGGGCAGGAATGCCAAGGTGCATGGATGGAAGGATAGACTGTAGTGGATCTGGGCTATGCCATTTATCTTTTGATTGTGTCCAAATTGCATAGCTCCTTCAGAACTTGGTTTTCTTGCCTATATAATTAGGATACCCACACTACCTGAGGTTTCAGGAGAGTCAAATGAGATACAGTTTACGAAGCTCCTGACCCGGTGCCTGGAATGTAGAGAATTTTAGTAAATAACATATCTTGAAACTCATGCGGGAAGTGGTAAAGCTTGAGATTCCCAGGCTGAATGTCCACTCCTCTGGGGCTGTGGGGAGTACAGATATACTCCCCTGATGGACAATTCTTTTCCTTCCATTCTAGGAAAGTCTAATATGGGTGGCTCCCCCAAGCTGGCTGTTGACAGTATCAAAGAGATCTTGAACATCAACCAGCAGAGGAATGACTATCTGGGTGAGCCTCCGCCCGCCCCCAGCTGTGCTGCCTTTGCAGGGGCATGAGTCAGGCAGCCAACAGTCTGGGCCGCACCTTGGCTTTATTTCCAGTGAGACCCCAGGCTGTGTCGTTCTGTGTGAAGGCAGCTGAGAATCATGCTGAACAATCTGTAGTGAAGCTGCCCTGCAGTTGTAGACTTCGAGCCTTGGTTTCATCTTGGGTTGACTGTGGCTGTGGGCAGTTTCTGCATTTGCTAAAGGGGGACGGTGCTAGGACCTACCTCGGAGGACAATAGGGGTGAATGCTCAGCTCTGGTACACATACACAGAGGAACAGTGTATGTGAGCGGCTGCTGCCACCATTGTGGCCATGAACCTCTCCAGGGAGGAAAGTCCTGGATTCCTTGTAGGGACTGTCCCTGGCATTCCTCTTTCAGGGGTACAGATAACTAATACTTCGGCAGTTGCAGCCTCGAAAGGAACAATTCCTCAGTTCAGACTAAACACAAATTGCACTGATCTTTGGCCAGAAAAGAATTTCAGACAGAAGTGCTCTGTATAAGTGAGGATAATTGCTTTTGAGCCTCCAAGTTTCACTTTCCCCTTGGGTCCTCTCTTTCCTGTTCATGCCACCTGCCTTACCTGCCCAGCAGGGGCAAGTGGATTCCTTTGTAAAACTCTGGCTTCTGGAAGGCAAAGTCTAAACTCTCTTCCCTAACTCCTTAGCATCATTGGGCTAGGGCTAAATGCTCAGAAACACCTTATTAAAAGGCAGCAGGGACTGATGGGACCTAGTCACAGAAAACACGTAGGACATAATTGTTCAGCCCGCACAGTGACTGCTTGTGGCCTGCCTGGGGACAGATTGTTTCCTGAGAAAAGCCTTGTCTCCCAGTCTATCTGAGCATCTTGCTCTTTGCATACCACCCAGGATCCTCTAGGAGCAAAAAAGGGCCAAGAGGGATGCAAAGCATGGGGGAAGACTGGACTCTGTGGGCCTCCACCCTGGGGCAGCTCTGACTGGCCCCCAGGCTGACTGGGAGGGAGGACATGGATAATTGTGTGGGCCTAAGTTCTCTAGTGGGAAGAGATAGGGCTCCAGGCCCCTCTCTCCGAGCCTATACAGAAGAACCAGATCTGAAGGTTTGCTCCATGCATGCTCATGAGCTCCTTATTCAGTCATAAATGTGCTTACTGAAAGTCTCTCCTGGGCACCATTCTAAGGATACAGCTGCGAACAAAACAGACAAAAATATCTTGTTGGGGTTGTCATCCTGGAGGGCCAATGTATTAGTCTTCTAGGGCTGCTGCAACCACAGGCTTGGGTGGCTTAAAACAACAGAAACTTAATCTCTCACATTCAGGAGCCTAAAAGTCCAAGATCAAGGTATCAGCAGGGCCCTGCTACCTCTGGAGGCTTTAGGCAAAGACTCTATTTCCAAATAAGTCACATTCACAGGTACCAGGGGTTAGGACTTGAACATATCCTTTTGAGGGACACAATTCTACCCACTGTAGGCATTAAACGATACAAATTAGGAAACTCTATGGCATGGTAGATAGTGACATGTGCCAAGGTATAAAATGGAGCAGAGAGGGAACAGAATTGTCTGAGGCATTGCAGTTTTAGACAAGGAGCCCAGGGAATGCCTTGCTGAGATAGTGACATTTGAGGCAAGACTTGAAAAGGTAAGAAAGTGAGCCATGTGGACAGTCTGAGAAGGAGTGAACCAGGCAGAGGCATAGCTTATACAAAAGGTCTAGGGTGGGAGTGTGCTTGCAAATTTGCAGAGCTTTGAGGAGGCTCTATGGAAGGGAGTGAAGGGTAAAGAGTGGTAGGAAGTGAGGTCAGATAGGTAGTAGGGGGTGAGGGTCCAGCTCATTTAGGACTTTGTAGGACCCAGTAAATTCCAAATGATAGTTTCCTGTCTCATGGGGTAGCCCCTCAGCCACTAGATTCTGGTGATTTCCTTCTTCCCATCAGATATCTATGCTATTGGGGTGGGCAAGCTGGATGTGGACTGGAGAGAACTGAATGAACTGGGGTCCAAGAAGGATGGTGAAAGACATGCCTTCATTCTGCAGGACACAAATGCTCTGTACCAGGTCTTTGAGCACATGCTGGGTGAGTGTGCTTTGCCCTTTTTGGAGTGGTGTGGGTGGTGAGGAGCCAGCAAGAGCTCCAGGTTGGGAACTTGCTTACAGTGACTCTCACATACCTCCTTCCCCTCTGCTCCCGTACTCAACAGATGTCTCCCAGCTCACAGACACCATCTGTGGGGTGGGGAACATGTCAGCCAATGCCTCTGCCCAGGAGCAGACACCCTGGCATGTCACTATTAAGGTACCAGTAAGGAGGGATGGGGCTTGGATCTCAGAGGTGGAAGAGGCCATGGGCCAGAGACATAGTCCCTGAAGATCACCTGTCTCCCTGCAGCCTAAGAGCCAGGAAACTTGCCGGGGGGCCCTCATCTCAGACCAATGGGTCCTGACAGCTGCTCACTGCTTCCGCCATGCTGAGAACAGCTCTCTGTGGAGGGTCACTGTGGGTAAGGCAAGGCCCACACCAGGCTCCTAACCCCATGGCCAGAGCTATCACCCTTTGTCCCTAGCCCCCACCCCCTCCAGGGACCCTGGCCCAGCCTAATCTGCCACATTGTTCACAGGGGATCCTAACTCCCGGTGGGGCAAAGACTTCAGTATTGAGAAGGCTGTGATCTCCTCGAGATTTGATGTATTTGCCAAGAGGGATCAGGGAATCCTGGAGTTCTATGGTGATGACATTGCCCTGTTGAAGCTGGCCCAGAAAGTGAAGATGTCCACCCATGCCAGGTGCTAGAGTCTGGGATGAGAGGCCATCCTCTGTGGGAGAGTGCTCTGGGGAGTCCCAGAGGAGGGGACCCTGAGGATGGGCCTATGTGACCCTTGTCCTTCTCCTCAGACCCATTTGCCTTCCCTGCACGGTGGAGGCAAATCTGGCACTGCGGAGACACCCGGGCAGCACCTGCCGAGACCACGGTGAGTGCTGGGGCTTAGGGTGCATAAGGAGCTAGGACCAGGAGTGATGACACTTAGGAGTGATGACATGGGCTGGGCAACAGCCCCCAGTCTGGAGCTTGAATGCTTGGTAAAGGGATCAGCATCACATCCCTTTCTCCTTGACCACAGAAAGTGAACTTCTGAACAAACTGAGCATTCCTGCTCACTTTGTGTCCTTGAGTGGGAGCAAACTGGACATTAACCTCAAGACAGGGACAGAGGTGAGGATCTCAGGTCTGGGATGCTGTGTGGGAACGGGACTTCCCTGAGGCAGCCTCCCCAAAAGTCTCTCTTTGTCCCTTCCTTCTCCAGCTCTGGCTGGTTTCTCCATCTGACCCTGTGTTACCCCTCCTCCAGCTCTAGCTGAACTGCCAGGTGTCTCCTAGGACTGCTCATTCTCTCCTTCTCTCCTGTTCCACCCCTGCCTCAGTGGACAAGCTGCATCCAGGTCGTCTCCCAAGACAAAACCACGTTCCCCCACTTGACAGATGTCAGAGAGGTGGTGACAGACCAGTTCCTATGCAGTGGGACCGAGAAGGATGACAATCCCTGCAAGGGTAAGCCCCTCCCACTCTCCAGCCTGGATTCCTGAGGGAAAGTCCACCAGTGTCCCTGTGGCCAGCATGCATGCCAGGGCACTGGTGCACTGCCCTAATAACAAGGGAGAGGGGTGAGTCAGTATGACAGTCTCTTGTCCCTCCTTTTTGACAGGAGAATCTGGGGGAGCAGTTTTCCTTGAACGGAGATACAGGTTTTTTCAGGTAAGGAGAGAAGGGGGAAGGAAGCTCATGGGACTGGAGCTACAGAGTCTTGGCCTTGAAAGAGGCCGAGGGAGGCCTTTGAACGAGCCAGATATGTTGAGGCTTGGAGCCGGGGCTGTGACAGCCTCCCACCTCATTCTCTCCTTTCAGGTGGGCCTGGTGAGTTGGGGTCTCTACAACCCCTGTGGCAACAGCAATAAAAACTCCCGCCAAAAGGCCCCCAAGGGCAAGATCCCACCACCACGAGATTTTCACATCAATCTCTTTCGCTTACAGCCCTGGCTGAGGCAGCATCTGGAGGGTATCTTGAACTTCTTGCCCCTTTAATTGTGCTCACTGACCCCTCTGTTGTCTTGCCAGCATCTGCCAGTCTCCCACTCTTGAACTTTTACCCTCAGACCCCATGACCCATCCATGCTCCCAGCTCCCAGGACCCCGTGTAGCACATCCAACCTGGGGAATCCCCAGGGGCCCACCCTCTGCTGTACTTGGCTCACTCTCCTTTCACTTTCACATGGAATTTCCCAGTTTTGAAATTAATAAAAATTGATGATTTCCTCATCTGTCTGTGTCTCTGCCTGGGGGCTGGCCAGGGGGCAGAGGAAGGCTAGAATGATTCCAGGAACCGCAGGGAGGCAGGTCAGAGACCCTGCTGGACAAACAGTGGCTGGACTCTGCTCCAGAGCAGAGTCAACAAGGAGTGAGCTGGCCTTTTTTCTCGTTCCTGAGGGGGTGGTCTGGGATTACTGGGGAGGAACTGGAGCTGAGAGGTGGTATTGATGGGTCTTTCCTGGATCGTGGGCAGGAAAGGGTAGGGCTTATGCAGTTCTTATTTCCTTGACTGGCAGCTCGGTGGGGGCCCTCCCACCTGGGACATTCCGGAAAATGATGTGGGTTGGGGTGGGTGGGGTTAGCCACAGGTGCCAGAACACAAATTGCATAAAAGGCTGGAGGTTGTGGGGGGCAGGGGAAGAGTGTGATCAGGCCCAGGTCTGAAGTTTCTTTGGACATCGAGCCAAACAGACAGGCAGCACAAGCTGGGATAATCCATCTTGTCCCCAGCCTTGGTTTCTCTCCTGCCTTCCATCACTATGGGGAGCAGTCTCAGACCCCAACTCTGCCTGGTATCCTTGATGCTGGGCCTCTTGTCTGGAGGTAAGAGAGAGTCACCACCCGCCTCCCCCTCCTGCTGTCCCCAATATTCCTCCTTGGCCTTGGGAGGCTGGGCTTCATCGGCCTTTTTCTTTAGGTGGGAGCACAACGCCATTGTCTGCGGTTAGCCCCCAAGGCTCCTGCTCTGTGGAAGGAGTAAAGATCAAAGGTGGCTCCTTCAGGCTTCTCAAGGAGGGTCAGGCACTGGAGTATGTGTGTCCCTCTGGCTTCTACCCATACCCTGTGCAGGTTCGCACTTGCAGATCCACAGGGTCCTGGAGCACCCTGCGAACCCAAGACCAAAAGATTGTCAAGATGGCAGAATGCAGAGGTTGGAGGGCAGTGAGGGTGGGCACGGGTCAATGGAGGGGTGGAACCGGTGGTGGCCAGGGGCAGACTAGCATGGTATTAAGAGTTGTGTTGAGGCCAGGCAGGTTAGCAGGGGGAGCTGAGCAAACACAGCCGCTGTCTAGGGCTGAAGGAGGGAGAGAGGGACAAGAAAGGGAATGAATCTTCACGGAGCATCTACCCGGTGCCAGGCAACCCTGGCAGAACACTCAGAAATCGGAGGCAAGGAGAAGAAAGGAGTCATCATAGTTTAAGGGTTGATGCTGTCTGTGGGACCAAGTGGCACTGTTTCTCTGTGACAGGGTCCCTGAGACCAGAAGGGAAACTCTCAAGGGAAGCCTTTCCTTCTCAGTAATTTCTACTTGTCCCCCTCTGCCAAAGCAATTCGCTGCCCAAGACCACAGGAATTTGAGAATGGGGAATACTGGCCCCAGGCTCTCTACTACAATTTGAGCGATGAGATCTCTTTCCGCTGCTATGATGGCTACACTCTCCGGGGCTCTGCCAATCGCACCTGCCAAGCAACTGGTCGGTGGGATGGACAAACAGCCATCTGCGATGATGGAGGTGAGAAGTGTCCCCTTCCCTGGTGATGGTGTCTTCTCCCTGCACATTCCAGCCTGAGGAACTAGCACCACAGCTCTTGTGCTCTACCGTGCCATCTGGGCCTCAGGATCTGGTCCTCACCTCCATGTCTCATGCTTCTGCAGCGGGCTACTGCCCCAACCCAGGCATCCCCCTTGGCACAAGGAAGGTGGGCAGCCACTACCGCCTTGAAGACACAGTCACTTACTACTGCAACCGGGGACTTACCCTTCGTGGCTCCCGGCAGCGAACGTGCCAGGAAAGTGGCTCTTGGAGTGGAACAGAGCCTTCCTGCCAAGGTGACTCTTGACCCAGGCTCGTAGGTCAGACCCTGCTCTTTTATCCTCATGTCCCTCCCTACTCCAGGTCCCCCTAATGCAACCCAGCTCTTTCCTCACTTCTAAACCTGCCTGTAGAACTTCCTCACTACTGAGCCCTTCCCATCCTGGAAACCCACCATCCCGTCTCTCTGGTCATGGTGTCTCTGACCTTCTCACCCCCCAACAACATCTGTAGACATTTGACCTGATTTCTGACCTCTCCCAGACTCCTTTATGTATGACACCCCTGAAGAGGTAGCCGAAGCCTTCCTGTCTTCCCTGACAGAGACCATAGAAGGAGTAGACGCCGAGGATGGGCATAGCCCAGGTTTGGAGGCAGAGAGGGGAGGGAAGCAGGAAATTGGGGGAGGATGAAGGGGCAGGAGAACCATGCATGCTGGAGCCTGAGTTTGTTGGTGGCACCCAGGGGAACAGCAGAAGAGGAAGATTGTCCTGGACCCCTCGGGCTCCATGAACATCTATCTGGTGTTGGATGCATCAGACAGCATTGGGATCGGCAACTTCACAAGGGCCAAGAACTGTCTCAAAGACTTCATTGAGAAGGTGGAGCCCCCTTTCCCCTGAATGTGAACTTACTGCCCAGCTAGGACTAGTCCCCTGGTTTCCAGACCTTCTGAGACACAGGTCCCAGAAAACCTCTGGTCCTATTCTGTCCTCCTTCCCTTTTACTTGAAGCAGTTTCTTGACCTTTAACCCAATCATCCATTAGCCTCAGGGTGATCAGTTAGCCCTTTTGTCTCTGATTATAACTTTCCCTGTCCCAGAAAAGCTGCTAACCTCTCCCAACCACAGTATTTTTTCATTGCCACTACCTATTGCTCTCCTAACCCACAGGTGGCAAGTTATGGGGTGAAGCCAAAATACGGTCTAGTGACATATGCTACAGTCCCCAATATTTTGATCAGAGTGTCTGAGGAAAACAGCAGTGATGCAGACTGGGTTACAAGGAAAATCGACAAAATCAGCTATGAAGGTCAGAGGTTAGGGAAGGGACTGGGGGTGGGGTTCACTGTGGGGTCAGAGAAGTCAAAAGGTTCAGGGTTGTAGGGAGGAGGTGGTGAGACCACATGGGAAGGCAGGGCAGGCCACTTTGCAGTCAATGGTTGGACAGCAGCCTCGTTGGGGAATAGGGGTTACTGCAAACTTGTTGGGGGCTGAGAAGGGAAGTCAGAGGGATGACAACTCAAAAAGCTGAAAAATGTGGTATCTCACTTGGGATAGGCCTCTAAGGTTCATAAATGACTTGGGAGACCAGGCAAGGTGACCTCTTCCCTTTCCACAGATCACATGTTGAAGGCAGGGACCAACACGAAGAAGGCCCTCCAGGCAGTTTACAGCATGATGGGCTGGCCAGGGAACGTCCCCCCTGAAGGCTGGAACCGCACCCGCCATGTCATCATTCTCATGACTGATGGTCAGAAGGGACCTTTCTCCTGCCCCGGGCTCCTCACCCTTATACCAGTGTATGGCTGTTAGGTCCACATGTAACACTAGACTCATGGTTGGGGTTCTGAGCAGCACTGAGGGCCCCAACCATGTTGATCTTTCCTGTGACCCTTTACAAGGAGAGACCCTTCATAAGTCTCCGTGTGATCTGTCACTTCTATAATCTCTTAACCTGCTTACCCAAGGGCACCTGGGTGACTTGGTTAGGCTTCTGAATTTGGCTCAGGTCATGATCTTGCAGTTTGTGAGTTCGAGCCCCATGTCAGTCTCTTTGCTGACAGCTCAGAGCCTGTAATCTGCTTCAGATTTTGTGTCTCCCTCTCTCTGCCCCTCCCCCACTCATTGCTCCCCCTCTTAAAAATGAGTAAACATTAAAAAAATTAAAAAGCTGAAACTTCACCTCCAGCCATTAAAAACAAAAAACAAAACACCTGCTTACCCAGCTATGTGTCACTATTTCTAGCCAATTTATCTTCTTTGACCCTCTTCTTTACTTGCTTCTCACCTTCATGGTCCCTGTCTCTTCTGCAGGCTTGCACAACATGGGTGGGGACCCAGTCCCTGTCATTCATGAGATCCGGAGCTTTTTGGACATTGGGAGGGATCGCAAAAACCTAAGGGAGGATTATCTGGGTGAGTTTTTTGCCTTGGACCCAGCACCTTGCTTTCTCAGCTCCTGCCCCCAGGGCTTGGACACTCCCCCTCCTTTTTTTCTCCGTCAGATGTCTATGTGTTTGGGGTTGGGCCTCTGGTAAATCAAGAGAACATCAATGCTTTGGCTTCCAAGAAGGATAAAGAACAACATGTGTTCAAAGTCAAGGACATGGAAAACCTGGAAGATGTCTTCATCCAAATGCTTGGTAGGAAGATACTGAGAGGGTGTAAAGAGGTCAGGAAACTCCCTAGATACCCCAAGGCCACTCACTTCCTCTCCTAAAGGCAGTCTGGGATGGTTTTCTCATTGCTCCTTCTCTACCTCAGTCACATTCTTGTTTCTGGGCACTATCCACTTCCTGACCTTAGAATCACAGAGTTCTGAATAGCATTGGAGGTCTTGTCAAGTCTCTCATTTTACAGATGTGGAAAGTGAGGCCAAGAGCAGCCCAAGCAAGTAAGCCAGCAAGAGTTGGGCCAGGTCTCCCATCTGTTAGTTCCAACTTGTTTTTGCGATGCTGCCACAGTTCCTTGCCCTCAATGTAAGGAAACAAATGCCTCTTTCTTTTCCTCATGGTCCTCTGCTCCTCATAGCTGTGTAGGTGTGCCTCCCCAAAAGGCTTCTGCCATTTGGAAATGAAGTATCCCAAGTTTCAGCACATTCTCCTTTCTCGCTAGATGAAACCCGGACTCTGGGACTCTGTGGAATGGTCTGGGAGCACAAGACAGCTACTGATTACCACAAGCAACCGTGGCAGGCCAAGATCTCAGTCACTGTAAGCACAGCTTCCTGGTGGTGGGGACTTGTGGGAGGTGAGGTCAGGTGGAATGGAGGTAGGGGAAGGGCAAAATGTGATGTTTGTAGAAGTTAAGCTTTCTTCCCTGCCATTCTGTTCCTAGCGCCCTTTGAAAGGACATGAGACTTGTATGGGGGCCGTGGTGTCTGAGTACTATGTGCTGACAGCGGCACACTGTTTCACAGTGGATGATCGGAATACTTCAATCAAGGTCAGCGTGGGTAAGGATGCGGTGAAT